TCGACGCGGCCGAGGCAGAGGCCGCCGCGGCGCGGGCCTTGGCGCTGGCGGCGGGCGGCGGCGGCTGGGCGGCGGGCGGCGCCGGCGGCGGGGATGGGGAAGGGGCCCCCGACGACGAGGAGGAGGAGGAGGAGGAGGAGGAGGAGGGTTTCGACGACCCGTGGGCTCATTTGGACGGCGGCGGAAGTGGCACGCCAGGAGGGGGCGACGGGGGCGTGTGGGAGGACGAGCCCGCCCACTGAGCCGTTGGTGAGCGCGGCGTCGCGACCCTGCCTGTGCACAACGCAAACAGTGCCCGCCTGTAAGGATGTGTGCCCCGTCTAGCCCTATTGTCAAAATTGGACGTGGGCCCTGCATTATGGTTTGCCAGGCGCAGCAGCTGCGCTGAGTGACACGCCATGCTCTAGCACATGTGGGGCGCGTTGCCCAGAGGCGCCAGGCGCAACGCTGCAGGGTTGAGCTCCATTACTCACATTCCCAGGTGTGAGCGACGACAACGCCACAGCATTGGACGGCAAGGGCAGCGCCTGCAATCATGGACGGCCCAGTTGTAGCGCTTCCTGCGGCTGTGAAGATATTGTCACCCCGATTTGCCGCAGAGCTGCGCGGGCTGCCAGGCCACTCAGGCAAGGGGGCGATGCGCGAGGAGGGACCCCAGACAGCCGCCGCCAGCAGAAGCCTAGCGACGTGGCTTTTGTATTGGCGGCACCCTGGATCGGTGGTTGACCATATGGATCAAACATGCGTGGCAAATCAAGGAGAAAGAGCCTTGCGCTGGCTGCAGCCGGGGCCAAGCCTGCGCTGCTGACGCACTCGAGTACTGTACATATGGTCAACCTATTGCAAAGCAGCCTATGCGACTGCGATCAACATGGTCGCAGTGTCCATGCTTTACCTTGGTTAGAGTGTTGCGTAATCAAGGATTCATTGCTGCCTCAAAGAGAAACCCCCGTTGCATGGGGCATTCCACGGCAACACGCGCGGCGGCCGGGCGTCAGCAGTGCAGGCGGAGGCGCGTGCACAGTAGGCAGGCGCCGGCCGCTGAAGCTGTTCCCTGTAATGACAGCTTCTGAT